CCGAAGCCGCCGAGACGGGGCTGACGCCGTACCTAGGCAAGGTGCGGGAGGGTAAACTCCGCTGTATATCGGTATGGAATATCGGCTGTCTCTCGGCATCGCGTACCTTGCCCAAGTCGGCGCAGGGGCGCATGCCAGCAAGTCCGACGGCAGTGTCGCGCTGGTGAACTGCGGCCGCGCCTCTTCGGCGGTGCCCTCGGCGGCGGAAAATCGGAGCAGCAGGGCGCTCACTGCCACCGCGCCGTCGGCTGCGGCGGCGGAGGAGGAGGAGCCCAGCGAGCTCGCGCTGCGGCGTGGCGCGCGCAACGCCACCACCTCCGCCACGCCGCCCGCGAGAGCGAAGCCCGCGTCGCCGCGCGAGGACTGCTCGACGGCGCCGGTTTGAGGGTGGAAGAGGTCCCTCTCCATCTTGTCGAGGCGCGGCGTCGAGAGGCAGACGAAGCCGCGCCTGTTCACACTGGAGGCGTGAAGAGGCGCTGTTCACGCTCACAGCTCGTCGAGAGGCAGGCGAAGCCGCACCCCGGCTCGCCGCCGTCGACGAAGTCGCGAAGTGTCTGGCCGGGTGGAGTTGGATCGCCGTGCGTGCGTGCTGGCGGCGGCGGCGGCGGGGCGGCCAGCGACTGCTGCCACCACGCGCCCTCGTGCCGTGTCAAAGTGCCGCAAGCCTGGCCGACGAACCAGGACACCTCCCGTCCCGGCAGCGCGCCGAGCAGTACGACCAGCGCGCGGCCGTCCTCAATCTCGACGGCGGGCGCGTCCCATCCCGCGGCTCCGTCGTCGTAGGCCTCAGCGGCGCACGGAGCAGGCCCGATGACGCCGGTGGAGCGCGTTGCGATGACTAGCGTCGACGGAGGCAGCAGCCGCGAGAGGCTATCCGCGAGGTCGCAGGTCTTGGCCTTGGACGCACAGAGGCTGTCGGTGGCAAACACAAACGCGACGTCGGGCACCGCGCCACAGGCGAGCCCCTTGAACGCCTGCGCCGTCGCCAGCCGCAGCATCGCGACGACGATGCTCGCCTTGGCGGCGGCAGAGGCGCCGGCCTTGCGCCGGCGCGGGCCCTCCGAGGAGAGGTCTTCCACCTCGCCGCGCGCCACGGCCAGCGCCTCGCCCGCGGCCCACTCGACCGTCCCCGCCGCCCAGTGCGCGTGGCAAGCGCTGCCGGGAGAGAGGCCGCGCCGCATCAGCTCGCCGGCGATGGCGCGGAACTGGCGGCTGACGCGCGCGCAGCGGAGGAGCTGCTGTGTCGGGAGGTGGGCGAGCAGGACGAGGAGGTGCTCATCGGCAAAGTCCCACTCGAAGGCGTCTGCGGGCTCCGTCATCGCATTGGCGAAAGAGAATTTTACAAGGGCGCGACCGCACCCCGAGCCGGGGCGGCACAGGCGGATCGGCCGGCCCCGACGCGGATCTTGCCAGGAAGGACACGAGGCAGCCCGACGAGGTTCGTGCCGGCGGCAGACAGAGCAAGAAGACGGGAGGAGGCAATTCGAGGGGCCGAGATGGATCGGGCGGCCGCGGCGGCGGGCGAGAAGGCGGTCCTGGCGGAGCTTAGGGCGATAGGTCTGTCGCTCGCGGTCAGCACCGGCGTTCTCAGGCCGGTGCAGCCGCGGGAAGTGCGGAGCCTGGCGAGACGACTGGTTGGCTCGACGGACCTTCTTGGACAGGTTTTCCGGTGGGAGGGGGAGGACTACCTCGTCAACGACATTGCACCGGGACCGACACAGTCGGGGGAGCAGGCGCTGAAGGCGTACGTTTGCCGTGTGAAGAGGCGGGTGGCATCGGCGGGCCGCTATCCGAACACAACTCGGCCTTTGATATCCGGTCAGTGAGGGACCGAATCGAGGAGGACCGGGCGAAGGGGGAGGCGACGCGACTACTGCGCAGTCTGCGGCCCGATGCGGAGCGGAGGGGGGGAGAGGCGGGGCCGTCGGCGAATCCGGGCCCTGCCCCCCCCCCCTCCCGAGGGGAGACGAGAGCTAGGCCCCCCCCCACGAGCGGGGTGGACGGCCGACGCGTGGAACCACGGCTGGAACGGCCGCAGGGGCAGGAGAAGCGTATCCGCGGGAATGACTGGATTGCGATGCTAGCGATGAAGCCGGGGGAGGACCCGAAGGAGCTCGAACGAAGGCGCCTAGGCGCGACCTCTGGGTCCAGCCACAGTCGTTAAAAGGTCTCATGCGTATGCTCCTACCCGAATACGATAGAGCGTGCGCGAGAGTAGTCCCCGGCTCGCAATGCGGCTTCACAGCCGGGAAGAACGCGCCAGCGCACTCTTGTCCGGTGCAAGGAGAGCGCGGCCGCAGAGACTTCGACGCTTGTGCTTGAGGACCCCGACCTGCTCTGCACAATCCTCGCGCAGCTCCCGGACGCGCACGCACTCGTTGCGGCGGCAGCGGTCGCACGGCTGTGGCGCGTTCAGGGCCGCGACGACCGCGTGTGGCGCGCGCTCTACCGCAAGGTCTGGGGTCCGCGGGTGGGGTCGGCGGAGCCGCCGCTGCGCGACGTCCGCGTGGGCTGTTTTGTCGAGCTCTCCGGGCTGACTGCGAGGCCAGACCTGAACGGTCGGGTGGCGCAGGTGTTGGACAATGAGGCGGACGGGACGTGGAGAGTCAAACCCGTGAATCTCGTCGCGTGGGAACGGTACCTTCGAGATCAGATCGAGGTCATGACCCGCGCTTATTCCCTCCCTCCCCTGTTTGGAGAGACCCTCAGCGCAGAAGACTACGCCGCCTCAACTCTTGACGAGGAAGCGCTCCACGTGCAGCCGCAGAATTTGCACGGACAGTGGCGGCTTCGCTTCCGACGCCGCCACACTGGCTTCGAGTTTGTAAACCTGCTGGGCGGATCGGGGCAGGTGCAGGTCGACGAACACGGCTTCTCGACGGCCGTCGGCCTACAGACTTTGACGTACAGACACCATGGTCTCGTGCTGCGCGGCCGCCGCCCGCTCCAGTGTATCGAGGACGAGCTCGCGTACTTTGAGGTCTCCACGAGCGCCTCTTCGGTCGGCGTCACGGTCGGCTCGGCGTACGATGGACAGCGTGCACTGCACATCGGCTGGCGGAGCACGGCGTACGGCTACCACAGCGATGACGGCGCGAAGTGGCGCCACGACGCGGTCGCGGGCCCTCGCACGAACGGCGCGATCATGAACGGCGTCACCTTCGGCGAGCCCTTCGGGGGCCACCGCGGCTCAGCGGTCGACACGGTGGGCTGCGGGCTCGACCTACGCCGCCGCTCCGTCTTCTTCACAAAAAATGGCAAGCTGCAGGGCACTGCCTTTGAGAACTGCTGCCTGTCCCGACTTTGCCCCCGACTTTACCCGACGGTGGCGCTGCACGAGGACGGTGACCGCTGCCGCTTCAACTTCGGAGCAGAGCCCTTCCTCTTCGACATCGCTGCGTTTGCGGTGAGCGACGCGCGGTCGGCCGGCGTGATTGGCGGCGGCGAGCTCCCGACGCCGGAGACCGAGGACGACGGCTCGGACGACGACGACTCGGACGACGACGACTCGGACGACTCCGACGACGAGTAGTCGCTCGCACCCGCGACAGAACGGAGGTGGGAGGGCGCCCCGCGTTGGCTGGGCCGCGCTGCGTCAAGGCGGCGGGGTGCCCTCTACAAGTACACGCTCGAGCTCGGCGTCCTCCTCCTTCATCCTCTGCTACGTCGCCACGTACGCGTTGCACGACGTGTCGACGTCGCGCGCTTGCTCGCCGCCAACCCAAGCAGCAGCCGCCGCCGCCGCCGCAGCTCTGCTGAGGGTGCACGGGGAGGCCGCTGGCGCTTGGGCCGGAGCCCCGACCGCTTTCAAAGCTACTAAAGCCGTAGTTAGCTGCGCCGGGAGGTCCACAGCGGCCCAGGCCGCACTTTCCGTCGACCGCACTCTCGTCCTGCTGCTGCGAGCCTGTATGTGCTGGGGTCGTGCTGCCGTGTGCCGACCGGGGCGGAGGCGGTGGCGACGTGAGCTCCGATTCTTTCATTTTCTTTGAGCAGGTGTACCGCTGCGCGGCGCGCGCGCGGAGACTGGCCGCGTGCGTGCGCGCGCGGCGGTGTGTGTCGGCGTTGAGGCCGAGGGAGAGAAAAAGTAGAGCCAGTTGGAGAGGATGGCCCAGCCACGCAGAGCCAGGGCTGCCGTACGACGGAGGCGCCCACGCGGCCGGCACGGCTCCGCCCCCGCGGCAACCAGCTGATCGGCCTTGGAGTGCCGCGGAACGCCAGCTCGGAGGAGGCGGCGGCCGCACAGGCGACAAGCGACAACGAGACGAGAAGAGGCGGAGCCGCATCGTAGAGGGTCCGTATTAGTATGGGTAAGTCAGCATTGTGAGACTAGCGTTGTCGACAAAAAAGAATTCTTGCGTCGCGGTGAGAGAGAGAGCTGACACTTCGATGGGCGAGCGTCCGAGGAGACAGTCCGCTCAACGGACAACGCCGCTGCTAGAGGGCCGCTCTCTCCGAGGTGATTGATTTTTTTTAATACGAGACGGAGACCAGCTCCTCAAGGTCTATTGAGAATTGAGGAGAGCGGCGAGCGAGCAGCGACGATCGCGTGGTGCGGCAGCGCGCGGATTCTTTGATCGAGGAAATAGAGAACGCTGATCAGTACCCTCTGAACGGACCCTGTATACGAACGACACGTATCGTAAACCCACTGCCGCACGACGTGGCTACGGAACGACAGCGCCATGCGTCCACGGCGTAAAATGATCATCTTCTCGAACTTGGCCCTCTGGCTTGGCACCACACCTGGCGAAATGTGACCGAGATGCGCTCGGCCGCGCCGGGCAACGACGGCGTGCTGTAGGTCGTAGCATGCCCAACGCTGTTTCGAGGTCGTCCGCCTCGTCTCGTCTCGTCTCGTCTCGCCCTCGTCCGTCCCGTCCGGGTCCATGCCGCTCTCTCTCGCAGCTCACAGCTCACCTATGCCCCTGCCTACAGGAGCGCGAAAGGAAAGGCCCGCGCCGTTGCCATCGGCGCCACCTCCTCCCAGGCGTTCGAGGCCGGGTCGAACCGCTCCACCGAGTGAACCGGCCTGTCAGGATCGAGAATTCTGCCGCCCACAGCGTAAAGCTTGCCTTCCAGCGCCGCCACCCCGGCCCCGAAGCGAGCCATCGTCAGCGGCGCCACCGTCTCCCACGCACCCGTCCCCGGGTCGTACCGCTCCACCGAGCTGAGGTGGCCACCACCGTACCCGCCCACAGCGTACAGCTTGCCGTCGAGCACCGCCACGCCAGACTGCCGCGCCTCCGCCATCGGCGCCACCGCTTCCCACGCGTTCGTGGCGGGGTCGTACCGCTCGACTGAGCTGAGGTAGTGGTCGTCGTCGTTATAGCCTCCGACAGCGTACAGCTTGTCGTCGAGCACCGCCATGGCGTGTTCATGCCGCGCCGTCGTCATCGGCGCTACCGCCTCCCACGCGTTCGTCGCCGGGTCGTACCGCTCGACCGAGCTGAGGTAGCCGTCGTCGTAGTTGAAGCCTCCCACAGCGTACAGCTTGTCGTCGAGCACCGCCACGGCGTGTTCCTGCCGCGCCGTCCCCATCGACGCCACCGCCTCCCACGCGTTCGTTTCAAAATCGTACCGCTCCAAAAGGTTGGAAGTTGCTTCGTCAGCCTCATCATGGCCGCCCGCCGCGTAGAGCTTGCCATCGAGGACCGCCGTGCCGACATAGCTTCGTGTCGACGGCATCGGCGCCATCGCCTTCTCCTCCCGCGCATTCGTTGACGGGTCGTACCGCTCCACCGAGTAGACGAACTCGTCGTTGCTGCCTTCACCGCCGATCACGAGCAGGCGCGGCCTCTTGCGCTTCTTCAGCGTCTCCTTCCAGCCGCGGCGCCACGCGCGGCACGTCCCCTTGGCGGCGTGCTCCTTGGTCGGCAGATGGGCGAGGATGTGCGGGGCGAGGTCCGGCGAGAGGAGGACCTCGGAGAGCACCCACTCGGGCTGCTCCACGAGCCGTGCGGCGTGCTCCTCCGCCACGCGCAGCGCGGCGTCGCTCGCGCCCGCCTGCGCCTCGATGATGGCGCACAGCTGCGCTGGCGAGAGGCCCGCGACGCGGGCGCCGATGCGGTGGGAGGCCATCGGAGCTGGGAGAAAAATCAAGTGTTGATTCGCTTGTGCTCGGACTCTACGATGAGTCCCTCCCTTGGGTTGTGTGTTTTCTTTCTTTCTTTCTTTCTTTCTACGATGAGCACTTGAGCACTGGATAGGGTCGATTCCGCATGGTACGGGACCCCTCGATCGTCTCGCCCTCCCTCGCTGGTGTGCTCATTGGGGGGGGTCATAACAAACACGGTGCAGGATTGAGAGAGAGAATTCTTGATACGAAACCACGACGACACACACCAGTCGACTCGCATCGGTTGCCTCCATGAACGGCGGAGCTATTCTCGCGCCCACACCACACCTGGCTCCAACGTGGACACGCCCATAGCTGGGGACACTACTAGGTCACGCATGGCATCACAGAAGTTTTATCTCTGGGCCCCGAAAGGCATCTCTAGCAGTGTCGTTACACATGCCCCCTCCCCTCCTGGGCGCATGCGCCTCACGTCTCGCCAGAGCATAAGCCCTTGGCGTGTGGCGAGACGAGTTTTTCGCCATCGCAGCGAGCAGCAAGCCGCCCGCCGCAAACAGCCGGAGGCCTCGCCGCGGCACTGGCTGCGCCGCGGTCCCGCACCCGTCGACGCAGCTCCCCCCGCGGAAGACCGCGCGTAGCAACGTCTTGACGATCGAGATGAGCGTGCCTGAAGCTCGCCCACCTACTGCCCCTGAGAGTTGGTTATTGAGTGGGATCAGCTCCCCCCCTTGGGATCGAAGCCGCCACAACCTCACACCCAACATCCCAGGCGGGATCAGAAGGGGACTCCACACCGGACACCGCCCGGGCACAGCCCCCCTACCCGTCGGATCGCACAGAGGGCCCCCTCGGAGCAGCCCACACACAATCACGCATCGGCAGAGTTAGTGCCTGAGTCAGGCAGACAGCACAGACAAGGAGAGGAGAGAGAGAGAGGAGAGAGAGAGACAGGAGAGAGGAGAGGGTGAGGGAGTGTGTACACGTGAGGAGTGGGGAGGGTGTCTGTGGTGGGTTGTAGTCCTACTACGTGGTTAAAACCACGCGCCCCTCAGGAGCTTAAGGTAGAGCTGAGCGCCCTAGACGCCTCGGTGCCTCCCACCGGCGTGAAGACCATCTCTCTCTCTCTCTCTCTCTCGGTGCAGGATTGAGGTGCACGCTGCCGAAGCAGTGTCGTCGAGGACGGCGACCACTTCTTTGAGAATCTGATCCGCTTGCGCCTGCGTCAGCGCCTCGTCCGTCGGCTCAAGGTTGTGGAGGCCGAGGACCTCCGGATCGACAGTCCGAAGTGCGTGCTTGCGCAGGTGCTTGTGTAGGTCTCCACGAGCGGCGCTTCGCTCGGAGTCACGCCACGCGGAAACTGTGCTGTCTTGTCAGAGAGCCGCGAGCCGCCTTGGCAGCGGCCGACGCGCTTTGCAACCTGCGCGAGTGCCTTGCCTTGCGACGGACTCAATGGTGCCGCCGCTGCTGACACTGGAGCAGAGATTTCTGCAGCAGGAGGCGCTTCTGCGCGTGCAAAAGCGGTGGAAAGGTCACGAGAGCTCGTGCGCCATGCGTTGAACCTTGCGCGGAGGCGTCTCCGCGTCGGCAGCAGAGTGATTGAGGACGCGAGATTGTGCGGGTGCGGGGGAACCGGGCGCACAGAGGAGCGACACACAGAACCACTCAGCCAACGTCTAGGCAGTTTTGCGAGCAGTACTACAAGTGCAATTGTACATTATCTAGGACGACAGAGGACGAGGCGGCTGCGCTCACAGCCGTACCAAAGATGCTAGCTTACCTTGGCAACGACTGTAGAGTGAGCAAAGAGAAGTGGTGCCCAAATGCCGGGCAGGTAACCCTCAGAGAGGAGGGAGCGCCCTCCGTCCATGTAGTGTGGTGCTCTGCCGGCTCGAGCGGTCATGTTTCGTCCGGCTCATCAGACTTGCACTGCCCTCCGCCAAAGTCGTAGAGGGCAGGCGCAGCTCTTTGGATGAAGAAGTGAGCTGTCGCAGCGCCGAAGCCCGCGTCTGGTCGCTGACAGCGCGTGCGAGCAGCAGCAGGCTTGCGGGCCGATAGATGCCTTCTTTGAGCGGCACCGCAACCTCCGAGTAGACCTGAGCGAGACAGAGGTGGAGGTGAGTCGACGGCACTGTGCTACGCGTGCTGATGCAGCGAGCGCGGGGACTCACCTGTCGCTGAAGCAGCTCTATGGGGGTGCCGCCATCCACGCAGTCAAGGAGGTCGTCGAACTTGACGCCGGCGTGGCTGCCCTCCATGTACTCAAACGGCTCGCTCTCGTGAACCAGAAGCAGGTGGACGCGCCTGGCCAGGGCGGCCTTCACGTCGCTCGAGAGCGCGGCTATCCGCTGGTCATCGTCCGTCCAGGTGCGCTTGTCGAGGTACAGCAGCATGTGGCTGCAGGCCGTGAGGTCGGCGACGGAGGTCGTCACTTCGAGCTCTATGTCGAGTTGCTGCAGCAGGCAAGACAGCTCCTGGGTGAGCTCGAGCGCGCCGGGGTTGTGTGGGCTGGCGTAGATTCGAAAGCTCTCTCCAACGCGGAGCCTCTGCCAGGTGAAGCTGATGCCGGCTCGCGTGTACAGCCTCATCGAAGCCGCCGCGCCAGGCTCAGCAGCAGTCTGCGTCATCTCGATTGCGCGCTCGAGCGCCTCCGGGGAGAGAACCGCTTTCCCGTCTGCGCTTGGTCGCAACATGGGCGCCCAAGACGGGACAGATTGCATCATGGGCGCCTTGGGCTGAACCAGCGGTGTCACGCACGCGTGCAAAGTGACGTTCATGAAAGCTGGAACACGAGTCCACAGCAGAGGCCGGGCTGTCAGCGCAGCAAAGATGTCGGCCGCAGTTGGGACCTCTGTGCCCCAGCTCGCCAAGGCGCCGTCGAGAGCCCACCTCGAAAGGTTCAGGCAAGCTGCGTCGATCGCTGCTCTGAGCACATCTTTGTCCATGTAGACGCTGCGCTCATCGAAGACGGTGATGATGCTCTTTTCAAGGGTCATCGCCCGAAGCAGTTCGCGCACGGTGTTGGGGCGCGTGAGGTAGCCATCCGACATAAAGACGATGAGGATCTTGGACACAGCAACCTCGGCTGCGCCTCGCCCGGACGCCAAGTCGTCCACGTCGAGAAAGATCTTCGTGTCTGGCAACAGATCGAGCAGCCGTTCCTTCATCACTCGGACAGCATCCTGTCCGGAAAGCCACGAATGGGACAGAAAGAGATGGTACTTGTTGCCGTCTGTGAGCGGCTCCAGCTGCACGGGCTGTCCCGTTGAGAGATATCTCAGCCACTGCCGTCTTGTCCGTTCGTGCTCGCGCTCCCGCCGACGGCGCCACTCTCGAACGGCGACCCAAATCACGACGACGGGGGTCAGGATCGAAAGCAAGACGATCACGACGAGTACTCCAGTGCTCAACGGCGGCTCAGGAGGAGGTGATGGCGGCGGAGGCGGCGGAGGAGGGGAGGAGTGCTGTGGCACCTCCGTCGACCCTCCCGAAAAGACGAGAGCGCCAACGTCTGGTAGCTGCAGCGTCGAGGTTGCGGTAGAGTAGCTGCCCACGATTGAGAACTCAAGCAACGAACGCGGTAGAAATACGCCAAGGCGGCGCCCTGACTGAGAAGCTTCGGTGAGCAGCCGGTAGTTGAGCACGTTTAAGGTGCCGAGTCGATCTCCGCTGGCGTCGAAAACATTAGGCCCACTCAGCCCCGTAACGGTGTCAGCTGCCAGCATCGTCGCAAACAGCGCATCTGCGTCTTCTGGCCGTGAGCCGTTGCGGATCGTAGCATCGGCAGAGACTGCAAGCTTGATCACTGCATCCACGTGCATTGCCGTGTAATCGGGAAGGGTCGAGGCGTCGTCGTCGTGGTCGCAGAAGGGTCGGGACTGCGGGCTCATGTTGGTGCAGCCTTGACTGCTCGACACCTCATCCCACAGCGCCCGATACTTGAGGCTGAGGTCGGACGCGCTGCTCACGCCGGATGACTCGATGACTCCGAGCAACCCTTCCGAGCCAAGCACAGCGGACGTGTTCACCGAGCCATCTGCATTGTAGAAGGCCGACTCAGCCGGATACGCGTTGAGCCAAGCGTAGCCCGGCCCCCAAAGCCGGTCTTCGTCATAGGCGGCAGCAAACACCGCCCGCTGCGCAGCCGGGTAGGCAACAAGGAGGATGATTTGCGAAGGGCAGTCTTCGAGCTGGTCGAGCAGGTTGCTCCCTGTCAAGTTGCCGCCGTCAAAAGCTGCCTTGGAAAATTCCGCCGTACCATTGTTCACGACTTTCCCACCTGAGCTCTCAAAGGCTGAGGTGAAAGACTGCATGGCCCCACGTCCCCATAGACTGTCGTCATGGAGCACGCAAATGGCTTGCCATCTCAGCCGCTCTGCGAGTGCTGCAAGGGCAGACGCGATGTGCTTGTCGTTGCTCGAGAGGCGCAACAGGTTCGGGTATGCGCCTACGTTCGCCAAGATCGGAGCCGTCGACGACGGCGAGAGCACGACGGTGGAGATGTCGGCTCCAGCGCGCCACTCGGCGGCTGTCACAGCAGCCACGTCATCCGAGCAGAACGGGCCGATGGTGGCGACGACTCCATTCAAGTCGGAATACAGCTGATCGAACTTGCTTCGCATGGATTCCTCAGTCTCTTCACAACCGACCCCTGCCTGAACCATAGAGTAAAAGAGCCTGTGATCCGGAAGTAAGTCATCGAGGAAGCCGTCCTTCTTGTCATTGATCCGGTCAATGATGTGCATCATGTGCTGGCATTGCTCGTATACGAAGGACAAAGGCGAATGATCACAAAAGACTCCGACGCGCAGCGTATCGCCCACGAGTTCTGGCGGCTTGCTGTTGTCGGGCGTTGGCCTCGTCAGCGCCTGACCGTTGCCGGCAAAGCTCTGCTCCCAGTTGTCGGCCGGCTGCCAGGTGCCCAGCTTGACCCACGCGCCTGACGCGTTCACGTTCATCACGTCGTAAAGGACGCCATCCGCGCGATCGCCGAGGGTGGCCGGCT